CCGGTTGAAAGATACCGATGACGGTTACCGGTTGAAAGATACCGACGATGAATACCGGTTGAAAGATACGGATGATGATTACAGGTTGAAAGATACCGATGATGATTACCGGTTGAAAGATACCGACGATGATTACCGGTTGAAAGATACCGACGATATTGTATGATATATGGTATGATGGGGGAACTCGCTAAGCTTTGTGCTTACAGTTTTAGTTTTGGTTTCAGGTACCTCTTCGTCTAAGGGGAAGGAGCCGACAGTGTAGCAGCGCATCACACACACACACACGATTTCCGCATGGAGTTTTCTGGGATTGTACTCTGATATGTTATTATTTTATGAGTTGGGTTTTCAGACATGATACATTGTTTTATGAGATGATGTGTTTTCACAGTATTTTCTTATGAATGTTTTTATGAGTCAATTAATTAAAAAGAAATTTTTGGACTTGAAAATTGGGTCGTTACATCTCTAGGATTTGTTAGCAGCAAATATGATACCTCCCTCGTCACTTACATCTAGGCCTAAATACTAAATGTATACTCCTTTAAGTCAATGATTATATTTATTGTCTCCTCTTTAACTCTCTCGTTGTTTGTCATCGCTAGGTTATCCATTGAATTTTCCATGATTAATCTTAGTTTTCTTTCTTTTTTGGACATTCTCTATCATTTTCAAATAACATTTTCTTGTGACATTCTCACGCGTGCTAATATGTTCATGTGTAATCCATGTAGCACTCATGCCGACACTAAATGAAAACTATCACTTAAACTTGTTCTTGATCTGACTCTTTATCGTAGCTTCGTTGGGGCTCTCTAGTACCTTACTTTTATCCATCTTTATATAGCTTGTGCCTTCCATCAAGCCTACCTTTATATGTACGGCCCATAATAATCCTTATGCATGCGTTAAAACATATCATTATCTATCTTCAAAATTCCCTCTCCCATAGCCTTTAACTTTTTTCGTGTATAGTGAACAGATTAGTCTTGTACACTAACACAGACTTAGCGAGATATCCATAAACTTATCATTCCATTTCAGGTTAATTTTTATTTCTAAGTGATAATCTTGTCTCTTTTTCAGCTAAACGATAACATGTTGTGTTTCATTCGAGTGTCGAAGTTGATTACTACATAATGGCTAATGTCATTGAGGCCGCTTGGCTTCACAACCTTCTTCTTGAACTCTAGTGTCCCTTATCTCATGTTATTGTTGTCTTTTATGATAATGTATCATTTACCTTGATTCAAAATTATGTAAAAATATCGAAGCACAAAACATGTTGAAATAAATATACACTTTGTAAGGAGCATGTTGCTCTCGGTTATATCTATGTGCTACATGTTCCATCTTCCCACAAGTTTGATGACATCTTTACGAAGTTTTTACCCTCACATTTATATTTTGTGCATCTTTAGTCATTATTTAAACTAGGGAAAATGACACAAATGCCCTACGAACTTTCTAAGGTTTACCCGTTGAGTCCCTAAAGTTTTTTTCGGGCTTTATGGGTCCCTAAACTAAGATATGACCTACTCTTTTGGTCCCTGTCAACCTGTAATAACCGGTTCAGTGACCTTTTAGACCAAAAAAACTCACATTGTGCCCATATAAAGCCAAAAAAATAAGTTTGGGGATCAATTTGTACCAAAAAAACTCTCATTTTCTTCCAAAACCGATTCACACTCAATTCGTACCCTCCCAAGAAATCGATCGTTGCTCTTCTTTCCGTCTTCACGCTCGATCGTCACACACACTCACCGAAGATCACAACCCTCTTCCCCTTCTAATCGATTCTCGATCACAACCCCCTTCCATTATTTGCTTTGATCCGATTTCAGCTCTTCAAGGAATTGACCCCCTTCTTCCTTCTTCTCTGTTCAAAATCGCACAAACTACCTCTCCTTCTCTCTCCGAGTTGATGGTTTGAAGGATGTGATGTTGAGAAGGATGTGTGGGTTTGATGAGGTTCACAGAGAAAACGAGAGTTAATCTTTTTTTTCTTCAATTGAGTGTGAATCGGCTTTCGAAGAAAAAGAGTTTTTTGGTACGAATTGATCTCCAAACTTATTTTTTTAGTTTTATAGGGGCATAATGTGAGTTTTTGGTTTAAAAGGTCACTGAACCGGCTATTACAGGTTGACAGGGACTAAAAGAGCAGGTCATATCCTAGTTTAGGGACCCATAAAACCCAACAAAAACTTTAGGGATTCAACGGGTAAACCCTAGAAAGTCTGTATGGCATTTGTGTTATTTTCCTTTTAAACTAATGCAACACACCACAAATCCTTGTGGGGGTTATCATTTTTTCTCTACAAAGCTCCATTGTTTACTATCTAATAAAGTTGTATTTCAATGAATATATGATATTTTAAAATCAAAATGAAGCTTGATTAAGTTTTTTTTATGTTAAATTAGGCCCAAACCATGCCAAAGTTTGCTTGTATTTGTGTGGTGCAAAACCAAAAATAGACGAACCTAATCCACCACTTTTGGATGTGGCGCTCCTTGTGCTAAACCCTACTCATTCACATCTTGTCTTTCTCAACACACTTGCTCGACTCCATGCTTCACACAACTTGGACAGTTAATCGTGCTAAATCAAGAAAGTTAGTCTATATGCTTTTTAGTTTAGCCTAATAAAACAAGTAAATTAGGCTTTTGGACACTAAAATAGCAACTCATCCATGTGTCCACGCCATTTCAAGACTTTAGAATCGTGTAAAGTATAGATACTTGTCAACTATATATAAAAGTTTGGTTAAAATTGGTTTTGAAACCGACTTTTGTCTTTATTTTTAAATATTGTAAGAAATGAAAAGATGCCGATTTTATGTATGACTCGCTTTTTGGTGAATGAAATAGAAAGACAAGGCATGACATGCATTACATTATGGGTTCAACACTGTACCACTTACTCAAAGTATTCTACACTCACTACACCATTTCAAGTTTTCAACGACAAAAATATTATAGGTATATTTGATAAGTAAATGAGTTCTTTAATTAAATAAAATTGTATGTTTAATTCTTCACATTAATCAATTTTTAACAAACTATAATTATATCTGTAAAAATAAAATTGTAACTGTAAAAATGTTTTTGGATTAACCTCAATATGGAAGTATAGAGCTCTTCGATCGTTTGCTTCTTGTTCAGTAATGGCAATCTACCAGAGCTGTGACGGAGAAGACAAGAGGTTGTTTTGGAGAATTTGCAGTGTACTGAAAGTTTGAATGGACGTCGTCAACGACCTCCGGTGCGGGAAGGTTTAGATCTAAGGATAGCACCGGCGCCGCCGGCGACCTCTTAGGGGAATGATTAACCCTCGTAGTCGTATCGTCCATATTCGATGATACAGCGATTTGACTGTTTGAAACCGGAGGTGGCCGGTGTCTTCTCATGTGACCGCCGAGAGCTTGTCCTGATAAGAACTCCGATCCACATATGGAGCATTCATGAACTTTTCCCTTACTGTTCTTGTATCCTGTTAATGACCGAGGAGATTTGTTGTGGTTTGTAATAATTTTGCTTTCAACTTCTGGTTGATCTTCTGCGGTTGATTCCGTTTTAACGGAAACGGATTTCCGATCTTCAACGCTAAGTTTAGGTTTCTTGTGGCTGGCTCTGTGTCCACCTAGGGCTTGGAACGATGGAAAAGTACGGTTACAGGTTTTACACTCGTAGTAATTTTGGAAATCGGATTTTGCTCCGGCGGTGGTAGTTGCGGCCATCTCCGTTAACTTCCGATTCTTCAATTTCTCGTTCTTCTGACAATGGAGATCTGATTTATTTTCCTTGGCCGGAGAAACACTGTGAGCCAACATAATCAAGCAATTCGCCATATCCTCTTCTTCTTCTTCGTCTGATGACATCGTCGGTGAACTACCAGTTGTGTAGTAACTGAACATACAACCATCACCGCCGTTATAGGAGCTAGAAGTTGTCTCAGGCGCCATACCAAGAGAGGAACAAGGCCTCTGGTGCTCCGTGCGCTTTCCTGTGATGATTTGGTGGGCTCGATCACGACTTGTCTTCGCCGTGGATTTTTGCATAAAGTTCATTCGCCTGGTGACTGGTGTGGTGTCTGAAGGTTTTAGAGAGAGAAGGTTGGTAGTGGTTATGAAAAGAGTGAATTGAATGAGTGAGGGCATTAGTTCTGTATATGTAACTTGCTGAAAAGTTTAACGTGAAAGGTGGTGATTTTTGGTAAAAATAATTTGACATATATTATGAGTCTATCATTAATTATAGGCAAACTGTAAGGAAAGAAGGTTGTTTTCTTTTCAGTAAATAAAAATTGCAGCAAATTTTTATTATAGAGATTTATGTTATAAAATGAGGTCACTTCAAGATTCAAACTTATATAATTATAACCGATATTTTTAAATTTTGTTTCTACATAAA